GGGTAGTATTTGCCAAAAACTAATTCAAAAGAATTATTGTTTAAAAACACACACACAAGGACTGTATTCATTTAAGTAAACACCACAGTAGTCAGTTTATTCACTTATGATTTTTTTTCAAATCCCAACTAGGAGTTGCTTGTCATGAGAGATTTTTTAAAAATCACTTATTTCTCCTGTGACTTTCAAATCACCACTATGCATGCTTACTTTCCTGCTGTCTCACTCAGACACACAATCCAAAAATTGTGGGCATAGGGAGTAAGAATTAGCAATTTACTTTCTAATCCTACAGCATTTGAGCCAGGTACATTGACAACCCTTTTCTTATCCTCCACATAATAGACAGGTAATCATTCTTTCCAACAATATATTTTAGTATCAATCAGTCTTAAGTCTATTTTTCATAAATCAGTCAAATCTCAAAAAGAAGTGATCAAAAAGATTTCATGTGTTAAACACAAGCCATTAGCCTCAAAAGAAAAAATATCAATGTGAATATATCCATATCTATTCATTTATTGAACTTTTCTCAAAGCAAACATTTATAGTATGTCATTAAAATGAGAATGGGAGACAGATCATAAGGTCAAATTAATTCACTCTATCAGTGTATAGTAACAGAATGAAAACTGTACTCATCCTGATCCTAATTCAGTTAAAATGTATAGAATCCCATACTTTTCAAATTAGCAATAGATAAATAATTCATAAAGGTTACCTTTGCATTAAATTTTCTTTAAATTCATGTCCAAAGGAATAGCTAAAATAACTTTAAAAAAATAGACTACATGGGATGGGATTGTCAAGGTCTTGAACAACCATTTATCTAACCACTAAAACATGATAATTGCTCTTTGGTTTGAGTAAAAAAACCATTTCTAAAAGCAAATGCCAACTGTTTTCTGATAGGAAAAAAGCATTTTAAAATCTAAAACTAAATTTAACCACATAGCACTGCACTGCATCCTTAAGGAAGAAACAGATACGTAAATAAGTCCTTGGCATGACAGAATCTCATGGCAAACTTCCCCTCCTCCTAAACAAATGACTAATTAAAACAGGTAATTCTGCTTGTGCTAACATCATATTTGAGAGCACTGCAAGTATTTTGTAATCTGTTTTAGCCCTTACAGAGAGCTCTCTAAAATAATTCCTCTAGTGTAGCACATGTATGTGTATATATATATATATATATATATATATATATATATATGCATGTATGCAATTTTTAAGGCTTGCTTTTTAGCCTATAATTTGTAATCTTACTAGCTGTGTGTAATTTCCTCGTCTCTAAAACTGGGGATGAAAATAGAACCTACCTGTGAGCTGCTCTAAGGACTAATTCAGTGTTATTGTATTACCTTCTATAAATTTTCTAAACATATATAAATGACCACATTCCCAAAGTATACAAATTTAGTGGGGCAAGTGATGTTCAACTAACGATGAAATTCCTTTAATCTTTTTTCTATCAACTAAACTGGCTGCACATTAGTTCAAAAACATCAATGTGATTCTTGCCAGAAAAAGGGGATATACTGGTAGCAAGAAAGACAAGTGATCTTTGCCTACATCTATTTTTAGGAATGGTTTAATTATCTACACCCCTAGTGTTAACATTGGAAAATAAACAAATGGGTGAAAGGCATCACAAAAAAGAGTCACTCAGAAATCAAGACTTTCATGGTTCTCAAAATGAAATGTGTTTATCATGCTGTAGGCCCTGGGTTTGATTCCCAGCACCACAAAAAAATTTGAATCCATTAAAAAATAATGGCGACGAAGAAAACATTGAGATTATATCTCTGGCTAGTAATTCCTACTGACACAAGGCACCTAGAATTGCAGCAGTTTGGGAGGAACTGCTGAATCGATCACACTGCAAGGTCCTAGGTTTAAAATATAACCAGTGAGAAAATGGCTATAGCCAATAGTTGGTTTTCTGTGAATCACTACCTTTTCAGTGCCAAAAGAAATGATTTTTTTGAGGTATATAGTTACTTCATATAGGCAGAAAACATTCATTAGTTTCTACAACAAAATAGATTACATCTGTATATTACTTGTTCTCACCCAAATATTAAGCATGGAAAACTGATCCCAATTTTCTATTCAGGCAAGAAAGGAATTAAGAGTTAATAATTATGAATCATTAACTACTTGGTATTCATAATTATCATAGAAAGATTAAGACTACAACTAGAAGATTGCAAAAGAAACAGCTAAATATTCTGTTCCAAATTATACTTTTCTCCTGCTAAAATAGTCTGCCAATTGATTCATTTACTAAGAGGTCTGATGTGAATATGGACAATTCAGACTCTTTAGTTCCACAGATAATACACAGTACTATTTTCTTATTCATTTTATCTATTAATGGAACATAACTTACCGGAAAAGGAAAAATGTTGTCAGCCCTGTTCAAGCTATCTTCCATCCAGGATTTAGGAGCAAAGGCAGAGCTGGGGCGAGCATACTTCTGGAGCTGAATGTGATTGCTTGCAAAATTCTTCTTCAAAGGTGAGATGGAGTTCAGGGGTGTTATTCCACCATTCAGCCCTCTGCGGTGATCTCGGCCTTGGGAACCTCCCCAGCCACCATATCCCCCACCTCCTGGGCTCCAGGAAGAAGATGGGGTTGGAGAGGGACTCTGGTAACTGCTCCATGGAGAGGGGGGCTTGTTAAGATTATTTGCCAAATGAGGCAGCTGGTTAAAAGCAGCATTTCTGTGTGTGAAGGGTGGGGGGTGGGGACTGGCAGGAGACCTCCTTTGCTGCTGATGCTGACTGTGATGATGCTGGAAATGGGGGTGATGTGGGTGGTGCTGTGAGAGAGGCCCGATCTGAGGGGAGAAGCTGCCTCCAAAGCCAGGGCTGACATGATGGGGGAAATTCTGAAACAACAGAGCACCGTTATTAGCTGAAGCCGCTGGGACCCCTCCCTGGTGAAAGAAACTTGCATCTTCATTGATTATTGTGGAGGAAGAAGGCGCTATCGCTGCTGACCAGTTACTGAAACCAGTAAGAGATGACGCACTAGATGTCAAGGGTTGAGTCGAAGTACCTAGCCCCGTGGCTTCTTGATAATCAAACCCGGTCAACACTGGTGATTCAATGCGTATTTTCTCCTTCCCATTGCCATTTTCTGAAGAATTGTCCCCTTGATTTTCTTCAGACTTTGCCTTTTCAGTTTCAGGCAGTATTCCAGCTTCCTGACCTGGACTCGGGGAGAGTTGTTGCTTTTCTAAAGGGTCTTGCTGTTCTTGTTGCTGACTTTTTGCTTTTTCAGACCCTAAGATCTCATCCTGAATATTATGGGTAGCTGGAGCAGGAAAGAGCCAAGCTGACCCAGCATTGCTGCCATTGGCAGCTGTGTTATTATTTATAAAAGCAGCAGGGCTGGGGGTGGCATTTTGGTGATGGTGTGGAGGCTGTAGGTGTGGATGGAATCGGACTGGAAAAGCAGATTTATTCCCAGTATTGCTTTGCACTAGCACTCCAAACCCGTAATCCCCCATTTATTATTTTTAGGATCAGAATTTCACAAACAATAATTGACAACCTGATGTCTCACGCCTTTTTGTCCTCTATCCCAAATTTTAGTTGTTAGGTTGCCCCAAATCTTGTTTATAGTTATAGCTCAAAGATTGCAGATTATCACCCTAAAGTATCTCTGATTTAGAATTCTGGTCTTTCTCTGGAAGAAAAAAAAAAAACAACTAAAAAAAAAATCTCTTAAAACATTAACACAAATCCAATTGGGCTTATTTCCAGGAGGAAATAAAAACGAAGAGGGTAAAAATCAAGTCTTTGGTTAGTAAAATAGGCGCTTTCTTTTTCCAAAGAAAAATGTACATGAATGACAAAAACACAGCTTCTCAAGCATCTATGGATGTAGAAGAATAAGCATTGTGCGGAGTAAAAATATATATATATATATATATATAATTTAACAATCACATGTGGTCTTCCTCAGCAGTTTAGATTCACTCACATAAAAATTAGAATAGGACTAAGAGGAGAATATGTTCTTCTTTTCTTGGCAGTTTGGCTAAAAAATCAGGAATAATTTAAGAACATTATATATTATATATATTTATATATAGATAGATTATATTAGGTTATCTGGGATGGGAAGTGAATTCCTGGTTGAGGGAGAGGAAATCAGCATTGACTAATGGAAAGATGATTGCAGGGAGGTTTCTGCTGTTCCTGGTCCTGTTTCTGCTCTTTCGCAGGGTGCAGTTTTGGCCTCTGGGGCTGTTCCTGAGGCTCCGGGTGCAGATCTTGCTGCGGTCGCTGTTCTTGGGCTCCCCCAGGCCTCCTCTCCCCCATGAAAGGGGTTGGAAACACCCGTTTCTCCCTCTTGCTGGGGTGGGGGGTCGCGATCTGGAGGGGTTAGAGAGCCTGGACGAGGGCGGGATGGCGGCCCGGGGGTGTGGAGACCAAGGGGGAGACCTGGAAGGTCCTGCGGTTTCTGCCTCTTCCCCTCTCTGCGGCTCCGGGGTTTTTTTCCCTCATGGGACCCAGGGGCGGTTTGTTCAGTTCTCTCAGTTCAAGTCTCCGCAGGGGGAGTGGGGGAGGGAAAAAAAAAGAAAATCCCACTACCGCAGTTATTCTAAAGGAGAAAGGCCTCCCCCCTTGGTGCTCTCTCTCTTTTTCCTCAGATCTTTAAAAAACTATAATTTAGAAGGCTTTTGTTTCTCCTCACGGTTGCTGGGCCGCCCTCGCCGCCGTCACCGCCGCCGTCACCGCCGCCGCTTTACCCGGGTCCCGCGGTCCTAGCTGTCGTTGTTGCGAACTCCACTTGGCTCTTCTTTTTCTTCTCTTCTTCTTCTGCTGTCGCCGCTGCCGCCGCTTCCCGGTGTCCGGGTCCCGCAGCCGCGGCTGAGTCCTTCTCCTCAGGACCCAGCCGAGTGAAATGACAACCAGCTGGAAAGACCGAGAGACACTTCCGGTTCGAACAGGGAGGGGTGGGGTCCCGCGATTTCCCCACCCACCTTCAGGAAGACCAATAAGCTGTTATGATTCAGGCTAAGCCACGCCTCTCAGCCGCAGGGTCCCTCCTAGGAAGGTCAAAAAGTTATCTCAAGAGACGCCCCTTCCGTCTGCGACTCGCCCAGTGAGGCCAGTCGCCTGGAGCCGGTTTTCTTATCCCAGAGTTAACGCAGCATATCGCCATCTTTTGTGTGGTCAAAGGACTCCTTCGATGTTTATCTTCTCCAACTGGACTTCGCAAGAGAACTATATAGAAACGTGCTGAATAGAGTTGGCTTCTACCAAACTATAACATGATTCAAGGTGTCGAAAATAGAAGTGGAAACTTGTGAAGCCACAGACTGGCGAGAGGAGTGCCCTCAGTAAAGGTGGTGCCCCAGACTTCACGTGCTCTGGACCGGGCTCCGCCCCAGAGGGATCTGGAATGGAAGGCGGATCTTCCCAGGAGCTCTGCGGTGCCTAGGATTGCGTAAGTCCTTACCTAGAATGTGTAGACCTCCCGAGGAACTGTCCCATACCCTCCATTTCCCACCTGTATCCTTACTGTCCCATCTTGTGCTTGAGATGCAGCGTGTCTGTAAGCAAACGTGGCTGAGCCCTCATCTCGCTATTCTAGTTTAGCTTAGACGCGGTACGGAGGGACATTTCCAAAATGAAAGTTCAGTCATGGCCCTCTACTCCTGTCTCTTCTACGGCTGCTCATGACCTCAAGAATAAAAGCCACAATTGGTAGTCCAGTATTCAAGCCTTTTCAACTTGTGAGCAGTGTATCTTAACTCCTAGTCTCCCTCCCTCCGTACTTTCAGTGTCGTTTTGCATGCCCTTTCTTTGAAACACCACTTGATAAATCACAATTTCGCTTTAGGTTCAAAAAGAGCAAACTCTGTATGAATTCTAGTACAAGCGCCCACAGCTGTGTGCACACCTCATGTTAATCACAGTATATTGTAATAGTTGCATATGCCTCCTGGACCTGTGCTCCACTACGGGCGTTTCCAGGAGTGGACATTATAGATGGGATGCCTCAGTGAATGAATCCTGAAGACATGAATGGAAAAACCAGCAACACTGAAGTTTTTCCTAAGTAACAGCTCCTATTTTCAGTCTCAATTTATTTCCTTATGCCATTTGGTTTGGAGCTCACATCACAAACTTTGATCATTCAAGTTCTTTCTTTGTTACTCAGTTGTTCTTTGTCTTGTTATCTTTTTACATTCCCACCACTATGACCGTCAGCACCTGGGATAATGCCTTTCTTTCTGCACTAGCTCTAAAGATCTTGAATGAAAGTTTTTCTTTAGCAGAAAATGAAAAATGAAAGAAAAACATCCAGGGTATAGCTAGAAGTGCCTGGCAAAACTAGGAGAGGGTAAGAGTAAAAAAGAATCTTATAAACAAAGGTGGCTTCCATTGCATCTCTATAGGCTTCTTCAGTGGCCCTCACTTTTATACCTCAATCTTTGATTCTCCAAAACTTATATATAGCTCACCTATGTGTGCTCATAATTAGTGATTTTATTCTCTTTCATTGTATCATAAGCATGAGTTTTATCCCTGCAATTCTATGAGTTTCTTTAGCATAAGCATTGGGTCTTACTCTGTTGCTTTTTCCCCACTATTAGACAAGCCTCAAGACTTCTCCAAAATGATTTCCCTGCCTGTCCCTTTCTCCAGACCTTGTAGATTCCTCTTTTTAAATTACTACTGATTGTCAGTGGGTTAGTTTCTTGAGGGCAGAGGCTGTGTCTGATTTGTCTTTATGTCCCCAGTGGCCAGCAGAGCATCTGGCATGGAGCAGACACAGGACATGTTTATTGAATGAATGGATGGATCTTCCATGCCTAGGAGATGGTAAGTTTCCCTTGGAGCTACCAATTCTCAGCAGCTAAAGTGGCAGGCATGATTTGGGAAAAAGGACTATCTTTGCAACTGAACAGCCCCGAATTTGAATCCTAGCTCTGATATGTCCTTGTTGTGGAGCCCTGGGCATCACCTCTGTAAGCCCTTTCTTTCTTCTTTATAGATAATATATGTATATTTCCCCCCTTAAGTAGGCTTGTAAATTATATAACATACATAAGTGCTGGGCTCCTAGGAGTTCAAAAATACCAATTCTTTACTAACATATTAAGTACAGAGAATTACTTCACAAGTGTCTTTTGCTTAGAAGCAGTTGAATGCATGAGGAAATGCAGAAATCTGTCTTGGTTTGTAAAAGGCATGCCTAGAGCCACAGTTGGGTGCTTCCAGGTCAGTGTAATCTTGTGTAGTTAAACCAAGTGCAGGCAGTAGGTTTGAGCTGGGCTGAAATTAGGATGATTACTGGAGTCATTCATTAGTCAGGCTCCTGAATAGGTACTGGGAGCAGGGGAGAAGAAACAGAATCAAGTCTTAGGTCCGTGGCCTAGTCAAAAACCCAAGATACACAGCCCAGGGCTGCCCTCATTGAAAACATTATGGTTTCAAAAACTGTATCTTGGTAACCATGACAACAACTCAGCAGCTCCGTTTAGGATCTGAAAAGGGTTCTACACTTGCAGATGAGTGCTGGCTGGAAAACTGCTGGCAAAAGAGAGCCCTTCCCATGAAGCATATTCACCAGGAAGCTTTCAGATTCCATGGAAAGCAAGCTCTGCCCAAACATTAAAGTGCTACCAAAATTTTTTTTTTTTTTAATTTCCTTCTTGTCTAATGTACAGACATACAGACACACCTTCAGAGGAGTTGTATGCTAGGAAATGCCTTTACTCTGTTGGCTGCTGCCCAGCCCCCTCTGGGAATTGAGGTCAACCACACCCTGAACCTGGAACCTCCCAGGAAGCAGAGCCTCACTGTCTCCTTCACCAACTCTTTTAAAATTTGGCAGATAACATAAATCTTACCCCCTAATCACAAAGGCTGAACTCTGCCCCACTCTAACCCTAATGTCCTCCACTACTGTCCCTGAAGCATACATTGTCAGTCTCCCATCAGCCTACAACCAAGAGCTATCAAATGACTGAATCGTAAGGGCCAGGGATTTAGCTTGGTGGTTTCGCCACCTCCTGTGCAAGCACAAGGACCCGAGTTCAATCCCCAGAACCAAAAAAAAAAAAAAAAAAAAAAGACTGAATCAGAGCCACCACTCAAGGCTGTTCATGTGTACTACGTGACTCCATAAGCTACCAGTATTTGAGTGCTGCCCACTGGAGTTGTACAGTGTACCAGTCCTGCTGCATTTCATTTCCATAATGCAGGAATATATTTTAAAATATGACACGCCTATAGAAAAAGCCACCAAATACTACCATAAGTGATACAACTACATGCTTATTGCATGCAGAAATATTAAAAGCAGTTGATCCTTTTAGAGTTATTGGCCCCAGAGCTTTCTGTAACTAGATTGAAGGACACGGTGTCCTTTGTATTGGTTTTAGTTAGTGAGCTGTAGTGAGAAGACAAGTCTGGACATGTATAAGGTCCAGTCCCCTAAGAGATTAATTCCCAGAAGCTTGGCAACATTAATAAGCATTCTGATGTAGTGCTGGAATATTTATTTCAGTAAATCTAAGACAATATTCAAAGGCCAGTCCTGTGAAGGCAAGGGGAGAGAAGACTGAATTACTTTTGGAATACTGTTTTCCAGTAGTACATGGAAGCTCCCTACCGTAAGGCAAGCTGGACAGAAACTCAACCAAGTCCCAAGGGCAGGTTTTATTAAATTGCACCTCTGATCTTCATCCTCTTTCAATATTGGGAAGTGTGCATGTCTACTTAGAAAGCACCATTTTTTAAACAACTAATTGCTTGGTTATGTTTTCTTCTTTTGTTTGTTGTTTTGCAACCTGTGCAAGCCTCCTGCATGTTAGACCACTGTTTTCCTCTTGCTTTCCCATTTGAGATATTATCATTAACATAGAGTTCATAGTTAACAAGTCATTTTGGTAGAGAGTGGTGAAGCCACTTCTTCTAATTCAGTGTTACCGAATAACGGGTTTGGAAAGGTCCAGGGCACAGACATGCTTCACTTGAAATGCCCATAACCTGGCAAAAGATTTGGGTGAACTGGAGCAGCAGGTTGACCTTCCACACTGTAACATGCATCACAGGGGATGCCTTGGATTCTTTTGTGGCTCCAGCTTCCATAGAAGGGCTGCTGACCCAGATTACCCCTTGCTGTTTTGACTGGGTACACTTGCTTCCTCTATGAAAACACCATGGTCATGCCACCAGTCAGCTGCCATCTCACACCCTGTCGCTGGGCTGGAGGATTTTCACCTGGTGTGCTTGGAAAAGAATTCTTTTTCAGAGCATGGAGAGAAGCTGTAGGGTCCAGAAGATAGACAGCTGTGAGTCAGAGATAAAAATTGGAACCTCAGTAAAATCATAAACTCATAGACACTGGTCTAATTTGTCTGATGATTTCCTGAAGGCTAGAATTTTTACTAGGAAAAGAATTTCACTTTAGTATCTTTAAGTAAAAAAAAAAAAGAAAAAGGGAGGGGGGAGAAAGAAAGAGAAAGAAAAGAAAATCAGAACTGGAGATTTAGCTCAGTGGTGCTACACTTGCCTTGCAGGAATAAGGTCCTGAGTTCAATCCCCAGTACCAAAAAAAAATAGTAAATGAAAACACGAAAAATGAATCTGGACATAAAGTCCAAATTTCTTGCTCCCTTGTCCTTCAGGTATGAATATTACTAAGGAAGAATGATAAGAATTGATTCCTAATTATTCAGCCTCAAACTTTAGAGTGCATCAGGCCCCATGGGAATTCATCAAATGTACATTCCCAGGCAAGGCCACCAAGATACAGAGTACAGTATCTTGAATTTTTCTCATAGTATTTTCTCATAAAATTATAAGGTACAAGAGATTTCTCATAATGTAAGAGCACAGACAAACCAAAATAAGAATGACTAAAACAAAATCAGACATTTGTCACAAAAGAAATTGGGAAGAGTTAACACATAGCTGGTGGGGTGGTTTCTAGGAGTGATCAGAAACTCAAGTACCTTCTATTGCATCGCTCTTTCCTCCTCTAAATTTGACTTACCCCTGAAGACTCAAGATAGTTGATCAAGCCCCAGCCATCATGTCTGTATTCTACACTGAAGGACAAAGGAAAAAAATGAAGCAAGATATAACCCTTCTTATTGAGGAAACTTTTCAGAAGACATATGCTTCACTTCCCTTCTCTCTCCCTTGGCCACAGCTGGACCACATGACCATACCTAATGGCAAAAGTGGTTAGAAAGTAGGGTTTTTATTCTGGGCTTTTAGGTGCTAAGTTAAAAATTGGGACTCTATTACTATGGAAGGAGGAGATGGATAAGTGGGGGTAGTACACTAAGACCCACCAAGTTTTATTGACAGACTGTAGGTCTCATACTGTAGGTCTCAAGTCAATATCTTATTTGGTGGCTGAGGAAACTGAGACCCAGGGAAAGATCTCATGTAATATAACGCAGTTGTTTTTGCCCAGTTATCTTCACTCAGAACTCCTTTGCCTACCCAGTGGCCCTCAGATTTTACCATGCATCAGAATCACTTGAGGACCAGTTAAACTAGACAAGAATTTCTAATTAAATAATGTGTTAGTCAGCTTTCCATCACTGTGACAAAATACCTGAGAAAATCAACTTAGAAGGAGGAAATGTTTATTTTAGTTTATGGTTTCAGAACTTTGAGTTCATCGTTGCCTGGCCCTGTAGCTTTGGGCCACAGAACATTATAGTACACCGTGGTGGTAGTGAATGGCAGAGGAGCTGCTTACCTTGTGGTGGTTGGGAAGTGAAAAAGAGAGGAAGGAGCTGGGGGTCCAATATCCTCTCTGATGGTACACCCCCAGGTCTAACTTCCTTCTACTTTCCTCCCAAATGTCCCTGCACCTCCAATAGTGCCACAGGCTGGTGAGCAAAACTTGAGCACATAAGCCTTTGGGAAACATTTAAGATGCAAACCAAAACAAGTAAGTATGAGAAAGCCAAGAATTTGTATTTCTAGCAAGTTTCAAGTTATGCTGATGCTGTGTGTCTGAAGAACACACTTTGGGAACCGGTAGTCGATAGTATATTCCCATCTGTATTTAACAAGGGGCATTCAATTCAGTGTGGCCAGCTGTACCCATGTCTCTCCCCCTTACCTCCCAGCCCTACTCCTCCCATTTCCCTAACTGATTTAAGGGTTCCATGATTCATTGTTTTGGTCAACTATGCCAAATTTAGGAGTCAACCCAAACTCCTCCCTCTCCTCGGTCCTCTCACAGTTGGTCCCCAAATTGTCTTTTTCTTCCTTAGCATCTCCTTCTTTTTCCTTTCACCTCCTGTTTGGTTCTACTCTGATCATTTTTCAAATGAATTTTTTTTTTTCAAAAGCCATCTTCAGATTGAAAGCCAGGCCTTGCTCACTGAATCTTCCTAATATAGAGTCTTATCACATTACTACATTCTTTAAACACTTTGAATTGTTCCTTGATATACTCAACTTTATTTTCAAACTTCCATGATTTTTGCTTCACCATCACAATTTTTGCCATATTGGCGTAGCTTCTTTACTGTCAAAGTTGGCTTTTTAAACATTTTAAAAATAATTAGGCATTCAAAAAACTTGATTTCTTATCTAAAACAGAAACCTGTCCCTTGCTGTAACTGAAAGGTAATTATCAAAATTAAAATAATGAAATCAAATTAATAGTATTGACTTTTTCTTAGAACTTGTATTCAATGCAAAGGCCCTAAATCTGAGACTTTCTTTCTCTTTGTTGAAAGAAAATGGTGGGAAGGAGGTGTAAAAGACTTCCTAACCTTGCCTTGTTTGTGTGCCACCTACAGTCATCTTATGTACCACACTGGGAAGGCACCCATTGTTTGGAAACCATCACCATCAGGGTTCTCATCAGTCACCTGCTTGATATTTCAGGACCATGTCTTGCCACTCTCAAAGAGCACTGCTCTAAGCACCCTGAAAAACTTGTTTCCATAAACTTAACAATCAGTCATGGGTTCTATTGGCTCCAACAAACAGGACACATGAACAACAATGTCTGACACAATTAGAGGTTATTTTTTTCACTCATCAGGGTTAGAGGTCAGGAGGCTGAGGCAAGATAATTGCAACTTGGAAGCCAAGTTGGGCATAGCAAGACCCTGTCGGCATGGGAGTGAGAGTGTAGCTCAGTCATAGAATGCTTGCCTAGCATGCTCAAGTTCCTGAGTTCAATTCCCAGTACTACCAAAAAATAAAAAGGAGGAGCAGGAAAAAAGAAGAGAAGGAAAAAGGAGGTGGGCAAGGCAGGAAAAAGAGGAAACAGTAACTAGAGGTGGGTAGTTGCTGATGCCAGCAGGCCAGTCATGTCAGGGCTCTGGGTTGGAATCTCTGGATGTTCTTGGCCTCCCCTTCAGGGCATCTCAGTGTTTGCCTCAGTTCTCATCTTTAAAAGCAAGAAATAGAAGTCAGCAAAGAGCCTGGAGTTTCTCGTCATGAACTTTCTTCTGATCAGGAAGAGAAGGCCTTTACCAAAAGTTGGTCCACGTACAACTGGGTCATATGCCTTGATCTAGAAATTCCTGGGCTCACCTTCCTCAAGACTAAAACATGAACAAAACCAGGATTCTTCTGGCAAAACAGAAGGGAAGGTCCTTGGAGGAGTGAGCCAGTGTCTCCCATGCTCACCATACAGTCACTTTAGGCCTTTCCGTGCATGTCTGCTTGCCGAGAAGATCTACTTTCTTTGCCTGGGGGAGCTCCTCTTCAGGGGTCCTTCACTTGACGCAAAGCAGAAGTGGTGTCTTCAAAGGCACCACAGACATTTGGCCACATAATTGATTGGTATATAATTGACTTTTTAAATCCCACCCTATAGAATTACTAATCCAGGTCAGAAACTTTTCTCTTTTCTGTACCCTATACCTGGTATTATGCCCAGCACATAGTAGTCCTTTAATGTATGTTTATTGAATTAAAGTTAAATTAACTAATTTTTTTCTTTTTCTATACAAGACACAAGTAAGTCCAAAGTAATACATATTGTTGAATTTAGCAACAAACATACTTTGGAGTGTTTTATAAATAGTACTCTCAATTTTTTTGGTGATTCATGGTTTTTTATTTGAAGGGGGAATATAGTAATTTCCTAACAGTACATGTGAAGTAAATATTAACATAAAACTTCTACCATGTTGTGGATCTTATGGCAAATCAGTCACTGTAAATCCTGGAGCATGATTTTGTAAACAGTAAACCATTTCAATCTTGTGTTAAACACATTATACAGGGTAATAGCTTCATTTGGCTCAGCCATCTTAGGTACAGTGCTTCAGTGGCATTAAGCTCATCTTTATTGCTATCTCTTGATGTTAAACAGCTCCTTAATGAAGTGGCTTCCCTTAAAGCCATTGGCTAGTGCATGCGTGCAGACACACATCCACATCATAAAGTTACCACCATCCTAACACAATTGCAGAGGCAGTAATTATCTAATATTAATAAGGAATATCACATACAAGTGGATGCACCAGTTTCTAATGTAGTTGGGTTGATTATCAGTAATAGGCTTCTTGAAATGACCTAGGCCCCCGGAAGTACCTTCACATCCAACAGTCCATGTTAAATATAATAAATGCATAAATAATTTAGCAAGGGAAATAGGTAGCATTATGGCCACACTTCTGTGCTGCTGTTATTTAAAAGCCTGGCAGCTTGGTAGTTAGAAACCACTATGTTCAGGGGTGTTGTAATTCACTATTTGCTCAGAGTTGAAATGAAGCAGAGGAGTGCTCCAGGCCCCTAGCTCATTTTTTATTTAGAGGCAATTTTTAATCCATTCAACCATTTAAGTTCCAAAAACAGAAATGGAAAAAAAGTAAATATTCTTTAAATTTAGTTTAGAGACTGTTTTGAAGTCTTCATTAGGCAGGGTGTGTGATACAATTTTTAAGCAACATTCTACAAACCTGTAACTGCATGGTGAGAATTTAAAACTTAGTTTAATTGTGTGTGTGTGTGTGTGTGTGTGTGTGTTCATTTTGAATCCATATATGGTGGTTCTGAGGCATTGTTTTTCTGAGGCATTGTTTTTCAAATTCTACTTCTTTTTATATACAAGATATGTAATTTATGCTGTATTGTTGTACTACTATCTTCCTTATTGCTTGCCTAAAATTATTTGTAAATTGACTCAGTTTTTTAGAATGTAAGCAAATAAATTCAAAGGAAAATTTTATATCACTAATGTAAATAGAAAAATCTGTATGTCATGTCATAAACAAATGCTGTCAGTAATTTTTTTCTAATATATGCTGAAATAAATGCATATTGAGCTCAGCAAATGTCTGATAATCAAAATAAGACACTGTTCTTCTGTGTACTGTCTACCTCAAGGACATTTAGGAAATCCCTGGTTTATTGGTTAAGAACACAGACCTTTCAAATCAAGTAAGATTGGATCAAGTCCCACCTCTGCCACGTTCCATCTGAATGATTTATGACATGGTCTTCTTGTCTCTCTGGGACTCAGTTTCTGCACCTGGAAAATGAGGATAAAAATGGTTGAGCAGTTGGTTGAGAGGATTAAATTAAATAATAAACACAAAGGTCTTAGTGCAGCGTTTATCAGTATTGAGTGCATAATAAATGTCAGCTATAATTATCATTAATTTTTTGATTTGGGAGACATGGGTCAACTTAGAGAAGCAAACAGCAGTGAATTCAGTTCAAGACAAACAAAATGTATGAGGTGTGTACATATAACAATTTCTGTGCCAGGCCCTATGGACACGGAGATAATTCTTGAAGTGACAGCCACGTACAAAGATAATGACAGCAGTGAATGTGCAGTGCAGTGAAAGTCATGTGCCTAGGTTCAGATGGCAAGTTAGAGAAGAAGAACATCGTTAAAGTCAGCATCCAGGAAGAAGAATGTGCAGATCTGTACATCAAGCCCCTCCTGGCAGTCATCGGGGACGTACATTGCTCCTGGAAGATGCCAAGTATATTGAATTTCTGCTGGGGAACAGAAGATGCATAAAATTCAAACATACATACTGCATGGAACACTATCATCATTTACTTATGGGTTCAAGTGACATTAAAGAATTGGAGAATATTATTTTCAAAATTGAACAGTAGTCAAGCAACATGTAAATGAAATTCTAATTTTCCAACCTTTTTTATTTTCACAGAGGTCACATACAAATGGTTCATAAAAACAGTGGGCCCTCCATACCCATGGGTTCAATAAAAAAACACATCAAAAATATTTAGGAAAATAATTGCATCTGTACTTAACATGTACAGACATTTTTCCTTGTCATTCTTCTGTAAACAACACAATATTGCAACTGTTTACATAGCATTTATACTGATTGAGTATCATAAGTAATCTAGAGATGATTTGAAGTATACAAGGGGACGTACCTAGGTTTTTTGCAAATACCATGCCATTTTATATAAGGGACTTGAGCATACTCTGTACCTGACCACCAAAGTTTACCAAATATTATGAACAGGCTGGCTTTTTCTCCTTGCTTCCTGGCCTCATTGGTATTTAAATTTGTGGCTTTTACTTGAGCAGAAACTTCTTGAGGGTATGAATCGTATCTGAGTTGTTTATTGCCTTATCTCCTGCTCCAGTGTAGTCCCCAGCTCATCACAGGTGCCCAGTTAATATTGAATGAGTAACTATCTAATCTGAGAGCTGATATTTTTGGTTAGTTGTTTTGTAATTATTCTCTCACATCTATGTGCATGCACATTACTTAAAATTTTCTCTTTAGAAAGTTAAATAATGGCTGAAAATGTGGTTATTTCTATTTCTCTGATTAAACATGCGTTAATACACATGGAAAAATAGTGTTATTATGTTAGTTAAAGTTTTTTTTAAAAGAAGAAAATTAATTCATACATCATCCTAACTCCACTAGAGCAACCATTAACATTTTGATATATTTATTTCTAGTCCTTTTTTCTATACATTTCTTGTCATAGTTGTAAGCCTACTGAGAGATTTATAACGATAAAGCCACCATATTCTTAACTGTTTGAACATCTTTCTCTGTCATTTGCTATGATATATTTTTAAAAATAAATTTCATTCAGACCTTCTGGATTTCATGAAGAACATGGAAGAATATTATAAACACTTTCCAGAGGAGTAAATGTTGTTCTAAATTTTTGTGCATGTGAGTTTGTGATTTACTTGCTAACTATTCATCATGTTTATTAAGATGTTCAATATTGAGGGTTAATTATTAGCCATCTAATTTTTTACAGCCTTTCTGTACATATTAGTTCCTCCCCTTCTAAAGCTAACAGACTGCCATACATACACATTTGTCATTTCAGTGGTCCACAAATATTTAACAGGTGACACCCAATGCCATGCACCTCTGAGGACCCAAGACTGACTATTTTAACACCAGAGAGATGACTACATTTCAAATTGCAATAAGCATGAGAGTCAAGAAGTAAGGGTGCCATTGGGACATTGAAGGGAGGCTGCCTTACTTAGCTGTCTCCAGGGAGGGCTTCCAAAAGAGACATTTGAGTGCTATCTGGAAAGATGAGCAGGAGCTTGGCGGGTGCTAAAAGGAATCAAGTGTCAGGTTGGGGCCTGAGAGAATGGGGCTGGTGAAGAGGAAAGTACCTAACCCACATTCACTGGCTGTGTACAACAGGTCAGCGACCATGCTGGGTCCTGAGGACATAGGGATGGATGGGCTGATGAATGAAGACGTGCACAGATCTTTGGGTAACATCCTACTAACAGAATACATCAGAATTGCATTCTTAAAAATTAAGCCTAAATCCAAATCATTCTAGAACAACTGTAATAAAAGTAATTTAAAAGTCCCATAAAACTTGGCAATATCTATTAAAATTAAGTGTGCACATCTCATGACCCAGAAATTATTCTACTTAGTTTCAAGTACAGGAAAAAATATTTGTTCAAATCACTTGTTCATGTAAAAGGGTACTTAGCAGCACTGTAAAAATGAAAAGATTATGTTGACATAAATCTGCATACATAGAAAAATGGATAAGTAAACTAGTCTGTATCCTGTCAAAATGTATAGAAAGTGTAAAGGTGTAAGGTAGACATGTATATATATACACACACAGGAAGTTTCCAGACAGCTGAAGGAAATAAGTCACAATACATATGCAATATGATACCTCATGTAAAAATATCTACACACAAGATAGATATTTTCTAGTTAAAGAGATATGTGAGTTTTTATTAGATTAGATATATAATTTTATATAAGAACACAGGTAACTAAGTCAATGCATTGCTAGAGGACTTTTGTTAAAATGAAAATTGTGGCTCCTTCAGAGGGGTTTAGAGATTGGAAGAGGTAGTGAAAAGATTGACTTAGACCTTACCTCTAAATATTTTGCAAAAACTGTATGTTCTATGAATCACTTGTACAATTAAATATTAATTAAAACAATAATAATGTCCTAACTTTCAGAGTAAACCAGTACCACCTATTTGGAAACAAATTGAGCAACATGAAACTAGACACTCTAAAATGTTCCTACCCTGTGACCCAGTAAATTTCCTTTTAGAAATTCGTCCCCAGAAAATAACTACAGATAGTTGCAATGATTTTTATAGAAAGATGTTCAATGCAGGCTTATATATAATGGTGAAAAAAGCAAGAACCATCTAAATTGTTCAACAGTGGATGAAAGATTAAATGCTAAGTTTACCTAGGGGGATGTAGGTAGCCATTAAATCCCTCTGGTAGAAGATTTACTGACTTGTAAAAAGATTAACAAAGTAATATGAAGAAGGAATATAAAATGTGAAGGTGATATGATCTTAAATATTATATATACAAATGCACATGTACATGGTCTGAAGAGGGCCAGGAAGTGATCCAGGACAGGCATTTGGCCAGGGCTCATGCTCTTGATTTAGACTTTTGACATAATCTCTAAATGTAGTTACACAAATAAGCAGAGGGATATTCTAAATTCAGTCCCACACAGTCACAGACACACTCTTGCTATTTCTCATGTGACTTTGATGGTTGAATGTACACATTTAAAATACAGCACTATGTTTTTCAACCTGTTTTAGTATTGCTTCATATTCATACCCAGAGCTTCACACATACAGGAAACTCAGGCTGCTCCCATGTCTGAGCAGATCTGGGGACCTGTTCTGCCACAGACACAAAGGGCCAGAAGGAAATATTCCAAATATCAGTGAGCATGCTGGCTGAATCTCAGTAGAGGGATTATAGATTTACTTTCAGTGGATAGTTTTCCTCTTTCCAGATTTCCTCCAGTGTTCATGTGTATTTCTGTCAGTTTAAAAATAGCTCCTCCAGTGGGGGAAAAAAAAAAAACAGAAAAGGAAATATCCTCTTTTAAAACACAAAAGCAACGCCTGGCTGTAGAATGTGCCACATCAGGATATCCCCGGGTGGAGACCTCGGCAGGCTGACTCCAAGGCTGGACAGAAAGAATGCAGTTGGACCCTGTTCCAATGTGTCACAGAAAGGCCAATGGTGACTCCTCCCCCTTCAAGTGGCAATCCTAGGTAAGGCCAGAGCAGTTGTCAACTGAGGGCAGATAGGTTCTGGTTTCAAACTGGTCCCCATGTTTGGAGGTGCTAGCAAGACAATCCATGCTCCTGATGAACTGGATGACTCTGGATTCCTGGTTCTGTGGCTCTAAATCAGTGTATGTGAGAGCAGTGCAGAGGCAAGGATACACACATATTTGCAGGACCAAATAGTACACTCAGGTCAAGCTGATAAAAAACAAGCCCTTTATCAGAGGACTTATTTGCATGACAGACAAGCTACACACAGGATTCTAGGCACAATAGAGAAGACATGAATCAATAGATTACAGTAGAATTTCTTATTAATGGAGTTGAGTGTCTCTATCTCTGTCTCAGTGTCTGTGTCTCCCGCCGCCCCTGTACCTCCTCTGCCACTGAGCTACACTCCCAGCCCAGGGCCTTGGTCTTAACAGTTTCAGGGAGGGGTGTGTGTGTGTGTGTCTTGTTACATCCAAAAGTGAATACTCCTCACCACTACTACCTCCATCCCCAGCACCCAGGCCTTTTCCTCCCATTAATAAAGTGGTCTATCAGCAGAACAAATAGGAGGCCCAGTTTTTCAGGGAGGAGTTCAGCACTGGTAAGTCAGGGTGCAAACTAAGTGTTTGTTGTGGAACAGCTGGGGCTGGGAGCCAGCACCCTCATTAGTGGAAGCTGCTACTATTTCCAGCCTGCTTCTATTTAGCAAAAGCAGGCCATTACAAATACAGTGTATTTTTGCATATTAACCAAATTAAAATAATAATATGTTCTCTCCTTCCATGTGCTATACTAATAAATCCCATTTTATGAATGAAACATGCTGATTAGTTAGTTTAAAAATAATTAGTCCCAGAATATGCTTCAAAGTTGGAGGCTTAATGAATGTACACAAATACATTTTTTCCAAGTCCTCAGCAGATTAGTCTTTTAAAGAAAAATATTCATAAGATATGTTCATAAAAGACAAATGATGAAGTAGTCTGATTTTATTTTTCTTTCTGCTTGCTATGCAAGATAATGTTTGGATGTTATTTTAGTGCCTTAGCAGGCTAGGTCACTTTAAAAATATGGATCAAAGCAATGAGTGTTCTGAGTTTTGATATTCAGATTATCAAGAGACAGGCCTCAGCTCAGAGCCTTCTTCTCCAGGAGAGAATTTTGCACTTCTGTTATGGAGCCTTCATTTCTGGGGCCTGAAAGTTACAGAAAGATCAGGGTGCTGGAGAACCTGTGGGTGCAATCTACAAAACCAGAGTGGGGTCTATTAAATTTCCTTTGTGTTCTCTTGGCTTGTTTTGTATAAAAATCTGTATGCTTCATCTACTGACAATAAGATTGATCCCAGACATTCCAAGGACAAAAGGGCACAAAGATAGCTGCCAAGCTAAGAACCTTAACCCACATTCCAGCTGACCATTCCTAACCTAGGAGGCTGTACACAGCACAGTGGCATCTTATTTAGACCTTTACATTCCAAAAATAGCTTGGATTGCATTGCATATTGTCTAGTTCAACCTTTGAAAATTTCTTAACTTGTCTATCAGACATGCATGGTATAGTAAAATTATTTAATTTCCATTATTGGACAAGATCAGTCACTATTTCTTTGATGGTGCCCCAAATGATGTAGTAGGCTTGAATTTAGGAACCTGATTGTGTGGGAATCATGTATTCTGCCAAGGTTTTGGCTGTAAGTGACCCATAGGAACAGAGAGGAATGAGGGGAACCACTGCAGATTCAAGGCCCAGTACCACATGTACTCCATGACATACAAGGATTATGATAAGGGTGGCCTTACAATTTACTCTTTATCTGCAGTTGAGTACAGTAAAAGTCATATAAATTTAATGGCCCTGTTCTCCTCCAGGGTGTGGGATAAGAGAGTGAGATTTAGGCTCAGATAGACCTGGTTATACATCTGTTACCTTGTTTTTCTCAGTTTCAGCAGGCATAACTGTAATTTTAGGGCAATAATTAAAATAATAATATTTATATAATGCTTACTATGTGACAAAAACTATTTCTGTTTTTCTAGAGCTTCACTTCTCTAATCATGGGCATTTATCTATTCATGACAGGAAGGATAGAAGCCTGGCACATAGTTCACAGCGATCAATAGCAACTGTTACTGCTTTATGGCTTCTTTTCAGCCTCATCATCTGTGGTTCCCCATTACACTTTGTCCACTTCACTCCTTCACTTATCATTGTTTCATGAATTCAACTGATATTTACTGAACACCCTGAGCCTCTAGAGTTCAGAGATGAAAAGTTTCTGAGAGTTCTCCCAATGGACTTATTCTCCTGCCCACCTTTGCTACTTCACATGATGATACTATCCCTGCTCAGAGTGTGTCTGCCTGACAAACATGCCCATCATGGATCAGCTCATGCATTATCTTCTGCATGAAGCTACTTCTCTGTTTCCACCTTGAGCCAATAGTTACCCAATTCGATCTAAAAGCTGAAATCCATTCTGATGGACCAAGCAATCACTCTACCTGGCCAATCAGTAGCAGTGGTAAAATACAGTATCTGGAAAATCATCCCTGAGCTCACTAGCTTCCTCCCATTCTGTGGCCCCAAAGCATTCTGTAAATACATTTATGTGTGGCTTTACAACAGAGATATGGGACATATTCTGGGAAATGCATCTTGAGGCAATTTTGTCATTGTTCAAACATTATAACTTGCACTTACACAGACTAGACAAACTAGATCAATTACTCCATGTGGCTTCTAGATGCAATCAAGAATTGTGGTAAACACAAGATGGATGAAGGTGCTGTCAGAGGAATATGGTATGCTGTTTTACAGTAACCATTTTTTTATAAATAGAAGGAAGAAACACTAAAATGTTTAAAAGTACAGTATAGTACAGTAAATACATAAGCCAGTAGTATGATCACTTATTATCAGGAATTATATATGGCACAAAATCACATATGCTACATATACTTTTATGTAAGTAAAAGTCCTGTGGATGTATTTACACCATCATCATCACAAACACACGATGCATTGTGCTACAGCATTACAACTATGATGTCACAGAGCAGTAGAAATTTTTCAGCTCTGTTATTGTCTTACAAGACCACTGTGGCCTGTGGTTTGCTAAGTGTTGTTATGTAGTAATTGACCATGTTCATCTTTGTTCTATTGTCATATATTTTCATTGTTAGCTTTTTTTGCCTGTCTTCTCTACCTGACCCTGAGCCCCAGAAAGCAGGATGGGAGATTAAGACTCATTTCTGCACCTAGCTCAGGAATGGCCATTAGAAGATATCCGTGATGGAGAGGAGGAGGAGAAGAAGATGGGTAGAAGATGAGAAAAGTGGAAGGAAAGGAGAGGTGGTGTATTTTCAGCCATGAGGAAATGGCCACAGGCTATAAAGCTGTCTTTATAGACACTTCCCCTCACCATCTGCCCCCTAAATTTTGGCACAAGAAATCTCAGCCTTCTTTATATGCCAGCTCATATGAAAACTGTATATAAGTCTTATGTGTTATCTGGGTTTTGCATTCAGAAAGAAAAAAATCTCTTTCTCTTGTGTGTCTGTTTCATTGTCCAGTCTGTGCAGCTCTGGCCTGTGAGTGTCTGTGCCAGTGTGTATGGCTGAGAATGGATGCTTTATGTGCAAAGGAAGCGAGGCTTTTCTTTGGCTGGTTCTCTGAACCCAGCTGCCAGTCACTGGGCTGGATGCCTCAATCCGCTTCAAGGAAGTCTCACTTCTGTCTTTTAGGTCTACATTGAGGGGGCTGCAGCCTTTCCAGGCAGGCCTCTAGGACATCCCCTGAACCAAGTGCCAGGGTGCAGAGAGAAAGGTCACAGACATATATTCCTCCTCAGGAAGCTGTGTGCTGTAGTGGAAAGAAGTCAGGCAGTCATGGGTGCAAATCAGTTACCAGGTGACTTCTCTCTGTCTCAGTTTCTTGCTAAATTGAATTACCATCTCAATTTAGAATTGCTATGAGGGATAGGTGAGATAATTCACATGATGACATTTTGTGAACTGGAAGGTTAAATGTACATATTGACTTTTAGGTTTTTTTGGAGACAAGGCCTCCCTATGTTGCCGGGCTGACCTTGAACACATGGATTCACATGTTCCTTCTGCTCCCACCACCTGAGTAGTAGCAGGAATTGCAAGCATGTGCCACATGTTGATTTTTTTTTTCTCTTTGGTGCTGGGGATTGAATTCAGGATCTCACACAGGTCACATTGTTTTCAATTAGTGTAAGAGGAGGTTAAAATTGAAAGTTCTGTTGAGCCTCAATAGCTGTTGCACTCTGCAGGTTGGATAAGGTAGAATTTGCAAAAGAACAACGCAAAATCCAGTTGTTTTATTTTCAAAATGGATGGGCTTGCTGACCTTTAGAGAAAAGTCTGTGTTGATTTCCTTGGGAAAATAATTTGGGCTATTACTCCCAGCTCTGGTCCAAGGGGACTCTCAGAGAGCTTGTTTTGTCTGCCCTGGAGCTGGGAGATGTCATGGGCCTGGGTCTGACACATGCTCACAGAAGCAATGGTGGCTGGTGGCAACAGAGGAGATATATAGGGACATGATCTTCAGTGGCAGGTCAGGTCAGTAAAGCAGAGAACAGAGGAGGGCATGTCACGTTTGGAAAAGCAAGTAAGAATGTCGGTTCATGGTGAAAGGGATCCTGTGTTGGTGGAAGGACCTGAAGGGAGAGGCCAATAGGAAGGTGGGGAACCACTACCCAAATGAAAAGTCTATCTAGGTTAAGGAACTTAGAATCAAAACAGGACTGTCTCCAGAAAATCTGCAGAGTTCCCAGGAGGGAAACTGCCAACTTAAAACCTCTGTCACACTCAGAGAGGGCAAAGCTAGCCTTTGAAAGTGCCAACCAGTTAGGAACATTTCCTTTCTCCTTACCTCCTTTTCTTATCTCTGCATGATTCTTGGAGGGACCAGAAACCAAGTTATCAAGCAAATAGAAGAGCAGAAACACCAGATTCACAGGTTCCTCCTGGCAGTAGGCCCTAGCAGGAAGAGAAGATGTAACTAATAAATTGAGGCATTGTCTCTGACTTAAATTGACCACAAACATTTTATTACCTAAAAGAGATGAGAAAACTCATGGATCCATATTCTCACTCAAGAACAAGGGACAGAAGGCACACAATGAATAGTTTGTAAGGGAAATGGCAGACAAATATACAGATGCTTTTATGAGTCCTTCTTGTGCAATGTATTAGATACATTATTATTATTTATCCAGCACTAACTCTTAGCTAAATATTTTACAAAATGCTTTATATCTTCAAAATAATCTGCAGAAGTGGGTGCTATTATAATTTCCATTTTGTAAAGGAAGAAAGTTCAGCCAAATTAGATAAATTTAGGGTAAAAATTGGGGTAAGAGGATAAAGCCAAGATTGGGAGCCAGGCTGTCAAGCTCTAGAGCTGGCAGTCACGTCACCTTCCCCTCTGTGTCTCAGTAGGCAGAACACACAAGGTGCCTGGGAAAGGACTAAAGTTGTCCCTCATGCTTCCAAGTGCACCCAGCAAAAAATACTTCAAGACTTCATAGGAGTTTTCATGAATCCCTTTAGAAAAGGATTTCAGAGAGACATGGTGTTTGATTAGAATGACTTGGTTTTATATATTGAGACTCAATCTAGCTAGCTTAAAGAAAAAGAACATTATCATAAAGATACAGAGATGTATTCTGGAAGGCTGCCCCATTTTTTTCTGTCTTCATCCCTGACTTTACTCAGCCACCTTCTCTTCCTGTTGCACAGGCCTCAATCTGTTTTGTGGAACATGACTGGTCCAGCTCCCAGGTAAAGACAACTTCAGGACTTCTCTAGGGAGTACCATTGGCTGAATCCTGTCCTGAAGTGTAGACAAAGAGGTAGTTAAATAACTACTGAGCACATACTAGGTGCCAGGCTTTATTTTAGGCACTGGGATATAGAAGTGCACAAAATAATAATAATAATAATAATAATAATAATAATAAAACACCCTACCCTGTGGGTATCCTTTCTAGTGAGATTCTGATTTGTCCATCTTGGGTCAGCTGACTTCTGGCCTAGTCATTGTTGCCTGGGGGTGCACTCCATGGTGGCTGGACGTAGGACCCTGGAACTAAGCTAGGTGTGGGATCCAGGGATGCTCATCCCAGAAGCCTTCTGGACCAGAAGATGTCAATGTACTGTTGAGCTGGTTTTAGCAAGTCTGCAGTTCTTCCATAAGTGGTAACTGCTTGCTTCAAAATTGTGTTGTTTCTCTCTCAGGATGGCCCTTACTTCATTAGCCTGACAAGGCCAATCTCTCATACCGGGTTTGATACACAATTGTCCTTTAGCCCACCCCCTTGTTGTGTTATATGAAGTCAAAATATACTTTTCCCTTTGCTTTTTTGTGTTTTTCGCCATCCTGAGTGAGCTTTTTTTTAAAGGGAAGTCTCCCTTTACCCTGATGTGGGCAGAAAGCTAAGGCAGAGCCAGGGAATGACAGAGCACACAGAAAGAGAATGGACTATACTAGAACTGTTTTGCCCCAGATGGGCTCCGCTGAGACAGTGATACGGCTTTGTACAGCTGTGGGCGCCTGGCTGAGCAAGTCTTGTCAAGAGTATTCTCATTCTTTCTTGCCCTTCAGGCTGTGATCAGTGATGACCTGGACATTCAGAATCCTCTTCTACTTCCTCTTTGATGGCAACTGTGACCTGCAATGGTAATGCCAGCTGCCACTTTTCAGCTGGCTGCGTTCTGGGCCTCTCTGCCTTCCTTCTATTTCTGCAGCTTTTTTTTTTTTTTTTGGTGCATGAGCTACTGCACATTCAATAATGGAATAGATTACATCAGATGTTATGTTTGCCAGCCTCAGCTCTAAGCTGTGTTCTTCACTGCTGCAGCAGAGAATGCCAACCTAGTTTATATTAGGATGGAGTTCACACTGCAGATAGGTTTCTTGGGGATCCCTGAGTTTTTCAGTTGAGAGGCATGACACTGTTTTTTCCTGGTGGTTAAGAGTATGAAAGTCTGAGTAGAAGAAATAGGGATTCAATCCTACTGAGGCCACTTTTCCATGCTCTGTGTGTAATTTAACCCTTAGTGCCCCAGTTTCTCGTGGAAAAGGAGGTTGATCATGATTCCCTTACTGCATCACTGTGAGTTGAAATCAGAATAATGTATGCAAAGTGCTTATCATGATTCCTGGTGGATAGTAATGACCAGATACACAACTGCCATTGTTAATATATTTGTTATAATACTTCTTGAATTCTATTGCCCAGTATCCTTTCCATGGCCACAGTGATAGTGTGCAGAAATCAGACTTCAAAGCCACACAGACCTGCAAAGTTGTGACAATCACATATACTTCTTGGGCTATTATGTAGATTAAATGGGATAATTGTATAATCATAATACATAATAAACTCTTTACACATCTTTCTCACCCTTTCAAAAACTCTAGGGGGGCTGGGGATTTAGCTCAGTGGTGTGGCCACCTGCCTTGCAAGCGTAAGATCCCGAATTTGATCCCCAGTACCAAAAAAAAAAAACCTCTAGGAAATAGGTAAAAGTATTATATGCACTTACACATGGGGAAACTGATGCATTAACAGTGATATTAAATAACTGGTTGAAGCTATAAGCTATTAAGTAGATAAAGCAGGAAGCAGGTAAACTGCTTATTTACTATGCTAACTGCTACTCTGTGGTCTGAAGTGCCTGGCAGGAGCAGGCATTTTAAAATGTAAATTATAAAAAAAATGTAAATTATATTTCTATACATCACAGATGGATAAATGACAATACTATAGACCCAAATGGATGTTTGGGGCAATAATCAAGCCAATGGTACGATGGAATAACGTTAAGAATATCTACTATGTGCCAAGTGTTTTCCTGGGGGCTTGGCAAGTAGAATTTAGTCCTGAGAATCATGATGTATGATAAAGAATAGGTCCAGGTGGTTTGTCTGAATGCTGTGTACACACATCTGAGAAGTTCCTGATCTCAAGTTAGACCTGAGGGACCACTTTTTCCTAAAGGCTGGGAGGAAAAGTGACTCTGATGGCCAGGTCCAACCGAATAGCAAACAGGATGTGTGAAGATTAGACAGGACAGCCTTGTCACAGCCAAATTTCCAGCCTTATTTTCCACTAGTCCAGAAAAATATATGCACAGTGCAGCAGTCTCTAGGCTGAGAACCTGGAGGTGTCAGTCAGGGCTGAGAGGGAACAGATGGCCTCCTCAAATTAGGCAATTCAAGGAGAGTTTAATAAAGGAGCTATTTATGAAGGTGAGAGGGACCCATGAGATATGTGCAGTTCCCTGGGGCTAGTAATAGTCAGTGCTGTCACCTCCTCTAGGCCTGAGGGGACAGGGAACAGAGAGCATTGTGTGGAGGGGACCACTTGGCAGGAGCAATGCCTTTGATGGAGGGACTTAACCAACTCATAGTGTCCCAATAAGGCACTCTCCTCCCTCTTCCTCATATCCTACGTGGGCTCCCCACTGTCAGAACCCAACGAGAAGCCACAGAACAAAGGAATACCATGGATTCAATGCATGAAGATCAGTCTTCTAGGGACACAGGGCAGAGTGGCAGAGGACGGAATGTGGGTCTGGATAGGCAAAGGGAAGATTTCAGAAACACTGGAAACACAGAGAGGCTGTTGTCCCCCTGAAACTGAAGATTTGCAGGCAAAGCCAAGTTTGAAACCTCATTGCTAGTGGCCTGTTCCTGGGACTGTGAAGAGGTGTGGTTGAGGCAGCACTAAACTTGTCCCAGCCAAGCTGGAAACCTGACATTGCCTTACCTTCTGTCCTTCTACACTTGGGATGGGGTCTCTTATCCCACTCAAAGTGAAGTCTAAGATTGAGTCTAAGTCTTCTCTATGGGCAAACTCTTAAATGCCAGAAAATAACCTAATAGGAACAAACTCAGAGGTGAACAAAATAGTTGAACAAACTCAGAGGTGACTGCTTGCAAACTCCTTCAGGTACTTCAGACTGTCCTGGCTTATGATGTCTTCCTTGATTTGCTGTATGTATGTTTCACATATACAAAAGAAAATACAATTATCCCTTAGTATATGCAGGGGACTGGCTCCAGAAACTGTCTTTTCTGTTCCAAGATGCATACATGCTCAAATCCCTTATATGCAATGCAGTATTCCTGCCTATAACCTACACTCATTTTTGTGTACTTTAAATCATCTCTAGAGCACTTATAATTCCTAATATAATATAAATACTATGTAAATCATTGTAGCACTGTATTGTTTAGAGAATAATGACAGGAAAAAAATTATCTGTACATGTTCAGTATAGATGAAATTTTTTTCAAATATTTCCAATATTGGATTGAAGCCATAGATGCAGACCCAGGATATAGAGGCTGAGGGTATACATGTAAACTATAGACTCACAATGGGATGTTTTATTCATTTTCTTATGCCCAGAACCTGACATGAAGCTGACATATTGTAGAATACCAATAAAAATTCGTCAAGTCTTTATGTCCTGTAGTACTCAGCAGATTCTAATTTAAGTGGCATTTATTTTCCAAGCCCTGTGTCAGGCCATTTTCATATCAATTTTCTAATTTAATATTCTCAACAATTCTGCTTATATTATCCCCATTTTTACAAATGAGGAAACTGAGGCTCAGAGAGAGGAAAGATGCCGAACATGGATTTAAATAGAATTCTGCTCTAGTCTCATGTGCTTTCCCTTTTTGCTCAGGAGCTGTCCCTTGATTGGTCACTGTGCAGTTACTTCATGCATATTTATGAGCTGGGTGCATGAATGAGCCCAGCAGAGCCTCTGTGTCTGTGTGTGCTTTGTGATGCTCTGGACCTACCACTGATAGTGCTGGCCTGCTCAGAGTATTTGGCTCATTTTTTAAAAACCTTTGAAACATTTTGGTTAACATACAATAGTTGTATATGTTTATGAAATACAGTATGCTATTTCAATACTTGTATATAATGCATATTGATCAAATCAGGAAATTAATG